TGCTAATCCGCTTATCAATTGTGTTTTCTCGTGCGTGTGCGTGGCCACAGTTGCCGCAGGTGTCCGTGGATGTTAATAAGTTGAGGCGTCAGGTGCTGGTGGGTCGTGTTGGGGTGAAAAGAGTAAAACAAATATCCCAGCCGAGTGCAGGTGGCGGGGCAGGCGAGCTTCAGATATCATGTTCAGTACTACCTTTCCTCACTACATGTTCAATAGTTACTCTTATTGCTCAGTTAGACTTCACTGTTTCACATATATATGAAACCAAAATGTTACTGATACACAGTGAGAGTTCTAAATTTATTTTAAGCGAATTTCATTTTTTTAGGCATATCCCAGTAACGTTTTTCCCTTTGGTCAGACAATTCTGGAACATTTTTTCGTGAGTTTGATAAATACAAATTACTTAGAGGATCAACAATACTCTTCCTTCACTCACACGCAAGCACTCGAGAGGTCAGTAAAAATAGGTAGTTGCGCACTCTACCATAATTGTCTCAGTGTATATATCTTGGCGACATTAATGAGAAAAACAACTGACTGAACCGACTTCCACTGTTCGTTTGAAGTGTTACGTGAATCATGTCCATTGTGTATATACTCAATCGTACTTGCTGCTGCTGGAGTTACTGAGTGCACGTGGGCAGTGTCGTGGCAGCTGTAGTTACTGAAAGAGTGCACGTGGGCAATCCATACAAGACCCTGTGCACTCCTCTGTCAAAGATGTTAACAGAGCTGCTGCATGAGATGGTATTGAACACAAGTCCGTTAAGACATAATGTCTCCCTTGCTCCAAACTTGACCAGATTCCTTCATTATACCCAGTCACGGACAGTCTCCTGCAGCAGCCACAGACGGTCTCCTACAGCCACGGATGTTCCCTCCTACAGACCTCTTCGATGTCTCTCGTATCTGCTCTTTCAGAATTGTCACCTGTCAACGTAAGAAGAATTACAATGTTTTTGCGTAAGTTTATTTTCAGATATACATTTATATACCAGTAAACAAATGTTAAATAATATATATATATATATATATATATATATATATATATATATATATATATATATATATATATATATATATATATATTTTATAAGGAATTCGCAAGAGCAGGCGAAATATACACAAACACTGATCCCTGGCTGAAGGAGACTCGAACCTACGAACCTTGGAACAAGGTACGCAGTGCCTTACCATTCTCACCACACTGGACCAATACCTTGGCGTCCAGCTTGCGCTAGACTTTGATCCAAGGCAGCCAGCTTTCAGGGAGAAGGCTTACAGCTTTTCATCTCATCTCCTATATATATACTTTATACATATATATAATATATATATATATATAATATATTATATATATATATATATATATATATATATATATATATATATATATATATATATATATATATATATATATAGGGTCCACCTCTGGTGTAAATTGTGGGACCCATAGCATTGGAGAAGTGGATAAAAAGGCTTCAAGGAAGAATATTTGGATTTCTTTTTTGTTAATACATCAGCCGTCTCCCACCAAGGCAGGGTAGCCCGGAAAAAAACTTTTATCATTCACTCCATCACTGTTTTGCCAGAGGCGCGCTTACACTACAGTTATAAAAACTGCAATTTTAACATCCCTCCTTCATATATATATATATATATATATATATATATATATATATATATATATATATATATATATATATATATATATGGGGGTCAACCTCTAATGTTAGCTGTGAGTACCCATAACCTCTGAAAATTTCTTCACGTGTCCTACTAGCTAGTAGAAAAGTTTTGGTATTTTATCAACAGGTTGGATATATGGTACCTGAGAGGCGTGAGTTAGATCCCAAGGGAAGGTAAGTACGATGTTCTCAGGACGAGGTCTGAGACCTTACTGAGCTCTACGCTCACTCTCCACCTGGCTCGTGTGAGCCCAGTCCTTTGACGTCACTAAGACACATCTCAATTTTTAGCGACCTTAAGGTTATTCTTGCGGCTAATCCTTCGCGGTTTATTTTCGCCAAAATATAAACAGTTACGACGTTTATTCTGTCTTATTTATGTGTTATACTTACAAAATTAAAAGTAGGTTATTGATTTAAAGTTTAAGTGAACTTAAATGCCGCGAAAGTCTATACCTGTCATGAATGTGTGGAGGTTCACAGTGAGTCAGAGAGGTTCAGGAGGTAGTGGGGGCCGCAGCTCCCTCTACCTCTACCTCTCCCTCCACTTGCTGATCTTTGCACCACGACAGTGATTCCTCGTTAATTTTCACCATTCAACCTCAGAAGCATCTTTTTCTTTGAATTTTACCACGCTAATTGTCTACCATCAATCTAGCGTGACCTTAAAAAAGTACATAAAGAGGAAAATTAAAAGTGAACTTAGAAACGAGTAATGTGATGAGAGTAACAAAGTCTAGGCAGTGAAACACCGATTACTATCTTGGAGGAAGCGAGTATGGAGGAGATAAATATTTGGCAGCAAATTTATTGGCAGATATGTTTACGAGAGATGAGGTGACCATAGAATAGACGCAAGGGAGGAGGAAGGGAAAGGTAGGTGAAGTGTTGAGACATCTGTGGAAAGAAATTTGTCCATGGAGGCAGAAAGGTGACTGTAACAGAATATAGTGGAACCAACACTTGTTTATGAGTGTGAGGCATGTGTTTTAAATGTTGCAGCGAGGAAGAGGCTGGAGCCAGTGGGGTTGTCATGTTAAAGAACAATGCGCAGTGTGTCATACAGAGAATTCGTAGCAAAGAACACAGAAGTCGGAGTGGGGTTACTCAAGGTATAACCCAGTAGTGTGAGGAGAGGTTCTGGAAGTGTTTAGGTATTTAGAGAGGACTAAGGAAACTAGGGACTAAGATGAATAAATAAATCTGGGGTAGAGAGGAAGGGGTAAGAGAGGTTTCGAGTACTAGGGGCTTGGACATCAAACAGGCTTGTGTGAGCGTGTTAGATCAGAGTGGGGACAAGTGTTTCTTATGGTTTGAAGTCCTATTGTAAGGCAACATTTGTGGAGGGATTCAGGGGAAACAGATTAGCCAGACGTGAGTTATGGAGATGAGAGAGGAATGTCTGCAGTGTGAAGGAGGCATGAGAATGTTGCAATTCAGAGGATCATTTTAACTGTAATGTCAACACGTTTATTGTCAAGAGAACTACTGAAAAAAACATAGTCAATAGCGTTCATATTTATTGAGCAATTCAGCTGTGCAATAAGTGGTGAGGCTGGAATATTTGTTATTATTTATCTGCCATACTTCAATATTGTTTTATTATTATTATTATTATTATTATTATTATTATTATTATTTATTCATTGGGAAGCGCTAAATCCGTAGGGGTCATATAGCACTTGGAGAGGAGAATAGCACCAGCATCTTGAGATCAAGAGCTCTTCACCGGCACCAAGCCCCCCTCCCCCCTTAATCCCCGTCCTTATGGAAAAGTGGCGGAAGTCCTGCTATCACCTACCACCACTTGCAGGGATGGAAGGAGGGAGCGAGAGAAGGAGGGAGGGAGGACGAGGGAGACAAGAAAGAAGTGAGGGAGGGGCCGGGAAGTGATCGGACATAAGCTACGATCTTCTTCCTAGAAAGAGGAAGCATGACAATGACGGCTTAGAATTTCTACAAGAATGTGCTAAAAAAATACTCTAAATGGGGCAAGAGCTAGATTCTGGCACAGGTGGTATTGTCACTGGTGGTATTGTCACTGGTGGTATTGTCACTGGTGGTATTGTCACTGGTGGTATTGTCACTGGTGGTATTGTCACTGGTGGTATTATCACTGGTGGTATTGTCACTGGTGGTATTGTCACTGGTGGTATTGTCACTGGTGGTATTGTCACTGGTGGTATTGTCACTGGTGGTATTGTCACTGGTAGTATTGTTACTGGTGGTATTGTCACTGGTGGTATTGTCACTGGTGGTATTGTCACTGGTGGTATTGTCACTGGTGGTATTGTCACTGGTGGTATTGTCACTGGTGGTATTATCACTGGTGGTATTGTCACTGGTGGTACTGTCACTGGTGGTATTGTCACTGGTGGTATTGTTACTGGTGGTATTGACACTGGTGGTATTGACACTGGTGGTATTGTCATTGGTGGTATTACCACTGGTGGTATTATCACTGGTGGTATTGTCACTGGTGGTACTGTCACTGGTGGTATTGTCACTGGTGGTATTATCACTGGTGGTATTGTCACTGGAGGTACTGTCACCGGTGGTATTGTCACTGGTGGTATTGTCATTGGTGGTATTAACACTGGTTGTATTGTCACTGGTGGTTTTAACACTGGTGGTATTACCACTGGTGGTATTATCACTGGTGGTATTGTCACTGGTGGTACTGTCACTGGTGGTATTGTCACTGGTGGTATTGTTACTGGTGGTATTGACACTGGTGGTATTGTCACTTGTGGTATTGTCTCTTGTGGTATTGACTCTGGTGGTATTGTCAATATTGGTATTGTCACTGGTGGTATTGTCATTGGTGGTATTGTCACTTGTGGTATTGTCACAGGTGGTATTGTCATTGGTGGTATTGTCACTGGTGGTATTGTCACTGGTGGTATTGTCACTGGTGGTATTGTCACTGGTGGTATTGTCACTGGTGGTATTGTCACTGGTGGTATTGTCATTGGTGGTATTGTCACTGGTGCTATTGTCACTGGTGGTATTGTCACTGGTGGTATTGTCACTGGTGGTATTGTCACTGGTGCTATTGTCACTGGTGGTATTGCCACTGGTGGTATTGTCACTGGTGGTATTGTCACTGGTGGTATTGTCACTGGTGGTATTGTCACTGGTGGTATTGCCACTGGAGGTACTGTCACTGGTGGTATTGTCACTGGTGGTATTGTCATTGGTGGTATTAACACTGGTTGTATTGTCACTGGTGGTTTTAACACTGGTGGTATTACCACTGGTGGTATTATCACTGGTGGTATTGTCACTGGTGGTACTGTCACTGGTGGTATTGTCACTGGTGGTATTGTTACTGGTGGTATTGACACTGGTGGTATTGTCACTTGTGGTATTGTCTCTTGTGGTATTGACTCTGGTGGTATTGTCACTATTGGTATTGTCACTGGTGGTATTGTCATTGGTGGTATTGTCACTGGTGGTATTGTCACAGGTGGTATTGTCATTGGTGGTATTGTCACTGGTGGTATTGTCACTGGTGGTATTGTCACTGGTGGTATTGTCACTGGTGGTATTGTCACTGGTGGTATTGTCACTGGTGGTATTGTCATTGGTGGTATTGTCACTGGTGGTATTGTCACTGGTGGTATTGTCACTGGTGGTATTGTCACTGGTGGTATTGTCACTGGTGCTATTGTCACTGGTGGTATTGCCACTGGTGGTATTGTCACTGGTGGTATTGTCACTGGTGGTATTGCCACTGGTGGTATTGTCACTGGTGGTATTGCCACTGGTGGTATTGTCATTGGTGGTATTGTCACTGGTGGTATTGTCGCTGGTGGTATTGTCACTGGTGGTATTGTCACTGGTGGTATTGTCACTGGTGGTATTGTCACTGGTGGTATTGTCACTGGTGGTATTATCACTGGTGGTATTGTCACTGGTGGTATTGTCACTGGTGGTATTGTCACTGGTGGTATTGTCGCTGGTGGTATTGTCACTGGTGGTATTGTCACTGGTGGTATTGTCACTGGTGGTATTATCACTGGTGGTATTGTCACTGGTGGTATTGTCACTGGTGGTATTGTCATTGGTGGTATTGTCACTGGTGGTATTGTCATTGGTGGTATTGTCACTGGTGGTATTGTCGCTGGTGGTATTGTCACTGGTGGTATTGTCACTGGTGGTATTGTCACTGGTGGTATTATCACTGGTGGTATTGTCACTGGTGGTATTGTCACTGGTGGTATTGTCATTGGTGGTATTGTCACTGGTGGTATTGTCATTGGTGGTTTTAACACTGGTGGTATTACCCCTGGTGGTATTATCACTGGTGGTATTGTCACTGGTGGTATTGTCACTGGTGGTATTGTCATTGGTGGTTTTAACACTGGTGGTATTACCACTGGTGGTATTATCACTGGTGGTATTGTCACTGGTGGTATTGTCACTGGTGGTATTGTCGCTGGTGGTATTGTCACTGGTGGTATTGTCACTGGTGGTATTGTCACTGGTGGTATTGTCACTGGTGGTATTATCACTGGTGGTATTATCACTGGTGGTATTATCACTTGTGGTATTACCACTGGTGGTATTATCACTGGTGGTATTGTCACTGGTGGTATTGTCACTGGTGGTATTGGCACTGGTGGTATTGTCACTGGTGGTATTATCACTGGTGGTATTATCACTGGTGATATTGTCACTGGTGGTATTGTCACTGGTGCTATTACCACTGGTGGTATTGTCACTGGTGGTATTGTCACTGGTGGTGATATTGTCGCTGGCGGTATTGTCACTGGTGGTATTGTCACTGGTTGTATTGTCACTGGTGGTATTGTCACTGGTGGTATTGTCACTGGTGGTATTGTCGCTGGTGGTATTGTCACTGGTGGTATTGTCACTGGTGGTATTGTCGCTGGTGGTATTGTTACTGGTAGTATTCTCACTGGTGGTATTGTCACTGGTAGTATTGTCACTGGTGGTATTGTCACTGGTGGTATCACTGGTGGTGTTGTCACTGGTTGTATTGTCGCTGGTGGTATTGTCACTGGTGGTATTGTCACTGGTGGTATTGTCACTGGTGGTATTGTCACTAGTGGTGTTGTCACTTGTGGTATTGTCACTGGAGGTATTGTCACTGTTGGTATTGTCACTGGTGGTGTTGTTACTTGTGGTATTGTCACTGGTGGTATTGTCACTGGAGGTATTATCACTGGTTGTATTGTCA